GACATTTTTACGCAAAATCAATTTTTGAGAAAATCAAATTTTTATATTGGTAACACTGGCATTTTCTATACAAGGGTAAAATTAAAAAAAAATCTTAATCTTTTGAAGTTGTTTATATTATAAACATTTGAAATTGGTTATTTCACAAAAATATGAAGTCAATCCCCCCCCCACCATGAAATAATTCATAATTTAATAATAATTTTAGTGATAACAATGAAGGTACAATATTATAGTTTATTTGTATAATATCATATAGAATACTGCATAGGCATAACAACAACTTAAAGAATTTTTGTATTTTTTTTAATTGCTGAGGGGGTTAGAAGGAGTTTTCTGAGAACAAAAATTATAGTTGAAAAAATATAATGTAATTAATATTAATATTAAATAATATCATGAGGACGGCGGCACGGATTCATAAACCGTCCATATGGTAATTGATTTACGTACACTGGGTGGGCAGGTTGCACGAATCAGATGAAGTCAGGTTAGGTACACTCACTTGAAAGCACGTGAAACAATGGCCGTTGCAAGGGCAACCGTGAGCTTTATTAGGGCATACACTTTCACAAAATTCTTTGTTGTAGTACAAAGCGTTTCCCTCATCGTCCTCATCACACACGAGACACTGGACAATCGRTGAGTTCTGTGAGTTCGGYGTGGTGTCGTTGATGGGGATGCACTGTCCACCCCATTCTTTGTGGCACTCCGATTCCATGCATTCGTTACACGACGTGAAATTAATGCTAGTAGGTGAAGTTGAATTCGTTGAAGACAAATTATYATCGTCGGAGWACACGTAGATGAAGTTCAAAAGTATGGCGAAAACGAACACGGGCACGACGGTGTACGGCAGAAACATTTTGGATTTGCTGTTTTTGTTGTTTTTTCGGAGGAAATCGAGTATGGTACCTAATGTGCGGTACTGCGATGTCTGTTATTTTGGAATCTGTTCCTCAACGTYGACGAAGTTGATCCGGTCAATGTCTGAGCGTTAATAGTTGATGGACTGACACTACAGTTACGATCGGTTTAAGTTTCGTTTTTATAGCCTAACCACTGTCGGGTTCGCAATCGTTGCGTCGTTTAATTGGTCGGGTCTCGTCGTGGTACTGTGGTAGGGTTGTGCGATSGGCCGTCGAATCAACACGGCAAAATTATTTTGTTTGACTTCCGTCGTACAGTGTGTCTCAAAAGTCCCGTTACGCTGTAATTATCTCCGTGTCAAATCCTCCGCGTGATAACTATACGTCCTGCGCAGTGGATGTGACATTGTTCAACAGCAATTCATTGTAGAAATGTGCGACATATAGTTTCRATTTCTTAATGGTTGAAGTGGTGCTAAAACCATCACTCTAAATAGAATGATGTGCCCATCTCACAGACTTGTACTTAAGGTGGTTCGAGACATTTAAGAAATAATATAGTATGCCACATACTGCTATTATCTATAATCGATAAACATAACTAAAAATAAATATTAAATTTGTGAGTAAATAGCATAAATTTCATGATAATTTATTAATAAATAATAATTATTTAACAGTGGTATTCAATCYATAAGTACCTAGGTATCTAAATATAGTTCTGGTAATTCTATTAATCGTTAATAGTCGTAATAAATTAAAATATCTAACATATTGGTCCAAACGGCGTGTTCAACAATTTTGAACTTAGAAAGAGTAAAGACTATAAAAATTAAAAGGACTTCGCGCCGCATGTGCTGTCACCGTCTTACACATGTATACTACATAAGCAAATTTTCGTTCACTATAGTTTTAATAGTGTGCTRCAGTTRGTTYTGATATTAGAGTAAATTGTGAATGAGTTATGTGCATTTTCAAATATTTATGCATTATATACAAATAACTCATTTAAAAATTAAAATATCGTAAAAAACCAACGAAAGAACACAAATAATGTTATTACCTAAAAGTTTGATAATGTTTTAGTTCGCTCTAATATCAAGACTAACAGCACACTATTGAAAATAGTGAACGAAAATTTGATATRTGTAGTACGTGATGAGTAAGACTTAAACAATAAACACTTATGGGAAACTTGTAACAATTGAACATTTAAATACATTTTTAAACAGAAAATAATTTTCATATTTCCGTCTGGTACACATTAGTATAATATGTATATATAATGTATTTTAAACTTGGTTTGTATTAAACTGTACCACTTACTCACTAATTAATATTAAAAGAATACAAGATGTCAAGATTTATAGATTATTATATTAGTTATATAAAGCTTCAATCATAATAACATCGGCGCAACCCATTTGCGCCCGAACCCATTTATCGTAGCCCATTTGCGCCCCAAATCATAGCCCATATGCGCCCGATTCAGATCAGGTGAAAATCGTGCAACGTTGCCATTTATTGAGTATATTGGGGTGTAACTATAAAATCTAAAATAATATTCGATCGTTTCCCAAGCTAATCGAAACCAATATCAAAATCGAAAAAGATAATAATATTTTGTCGTTAGTCGTTCTAATCGAAATTGTAAAATCCCAATCGATAAAGATTATATTATATGAAAGATTATATATTATTTATATATTATATTATTATATTATATTATATAGATTATATATATAAAATGCATTTATCAGTTGTATTTTATATGTGTCAGTTGCATCAGTACATGAATAGTGAGTACTACTATAATGGAATTTTATATAACTAATTCAAGTAAACAAAAACTTTGTTTAGTTTTTCGTTATTTTAAATATCACGTGAGTAGAACCCTTGTTTCTGGAGATATAAGTTAGCGTTGTGTAAAAAAAACCTGTAGTGCGTATGTCAAAACCAATAGTTCAAAAACGAAGTTAACCGAAATTAAAGACAGCCATACCCATGATCCGGAAACTGAAGAAAATTTAAACTTACTGGACGTTCAAGGTAGGTGTAAAAGAAAAGCGTGTGAAGATTTAACTTTACGACCTAATAAAATAATACGTACAGAGCTTTCCACGTGCAGCACCGCTAAGAATTATTCTGATGTTCATAATATCAGAAAGTCTATATACCGAGAACGTCGAAAAATATTACCCTCAGTTCCTAAATCACTCAACGAAGCAATTGAACAGATTTCTAATTTAGTAATTTTAACAAATAAAAACGAAGAGTTTACACATGTTGATAATGTAAATAATATCATTTTGATTACATGTAAAACGAATTTAAATTTTTTATGCGATTTCAACTATTCTGATATTTTTGGTGATGGTACTTTTACTTATAGACCATCACATTTTTATCAAATGTATGGTATTCATATATATGTAAATGAATGTTATATACCACTAGTTATTGCATTTTTACCATCAAAATCATTTGAATGTTATCGGGCTATGTGGAACTTTATTTGCCATTTATGTACAAATAAATTACAAAAAAATTTTACACCATTATCAATCCATTTAGATTTTGAAATCGCAGCACACACAAAGCATTTCTAAATGTATTTCCAGACAGCAAAATAAGAGGCTGTAGATTTCATTTAGGTCAATCTTGGTACCGAAAAATAAATTCTTTGTCAGATCTTAAAAAATTGTACAAGAATCAGTCATGCGATATCTCTAAATGGTTAACATTATTTTTTGGGTTACCATTTTTACCGTCAAATGAAGTGGAAGATGCTTATTTTGATTTACAAAACTTAACTCCAGATTTCAATTTGACAAATTTATCCGAATTTTCTGATTATGTATTTAATAACTATATCATTAAAGGATGTCCATTTCCACCATCAATTTGGGCTGAACCTCCAACAGACGCACCTCGCACCACAAATTGCGCTGAATCATTTCACAAGCACTTTAACTCCCAATTKTATTCACCTCATCCTCCATTGACTAGTGTAATTGAAAATTTAAAACTTATACAAGTAGAATCATATCTAAAAATAAATGAAATCAAGAAGGGTAAAATAAAATCACGACGTAAAGAGGAAAAAGAAAAAATACAACATACTTATGAAGCGTGGAATGAGTACAGAGGAAAACACTTAAATAAAATAGAATACTTATACCTAAAAGAATTGTATATTTTTAAACAACAACGGCAACGTTGCATGCAAAATGGGCGCATTTGGGCTATAAATCAGGGTGTTAAGTTTTTTATTTTGGGCGCTAATGTCCATAACTCTCGGGGCGCAAATGGGCTGCTCTTGGGCGCAAATGGGCTACATCCAATAACATATAGGTAGGTCCAGGTACATATACAGGGGAGGCGGTTGGGACAAGTTTATGCAATTTTTACCCACCCAAAGTAGAACTTTGTACACTCCAATCTCCAATTCAATAGTGTACATATATAACACTCATAAATAGTGACTTCCTAATTTTTGGAACCAAAAACCTTAAATCAAATTAGTGCGATTGATTTTCATTAAGTCATTAACACTATTACTTGTTTACTGAGATTTGAAATTATTTTTTTTAAAGAAAATTTTCGAAAAACCTACACGAATATTAATCGTAGAACCTTGATTACTGTTGTAATCAGTTTTGGATCAAATTTTTTTTTTTAACTCACGAGTGGTATTTACTTGAACAAATTGTATTAATCCAGAACAACAGATTCCACCAAAGCATCCCATTTGGATCTCTGGGGATAAATTACGGGAAGTATAGTAGTTAGGTCCCAGATTATTTTAGATAAATAACTCAAATATTCGATATAGAAGGTAAAACATTAAAAATAGGTATATAAATATAAAAATAATTATATAGTATATAAAATGCGATTAAAAAAAAAGTGGCTAAGTAGATATCGCTCTGCTGTTAAGTAGTTGACAAGTGGGTTACTGTAATGGATGGTATTCAATTTGAATTCAATAATATAATATCATTGTACAAGAAAAATGATTCCTAGTGGAGACGATTTGTCAGTCTATGACATTTTGTTAATTTTGTACAATATTATTTATTTTGCTATTATTTCAATAAATAATAAAAAAAATTAGGTACCTATAAAATAAAGTCCAGATTCATTATGCACACGACTCACTCAGTAGGTTAGGTATAAGTGGAATTAAATACTTACGTGGTACTTCGTTTTTTTAAGATTTAAAAGTTTTATAAATTTTCAACTAAATATAAAACTTATAACTAATAATAACATTTAGGTACCTATGTCTTCCTATTATTATTTTTAACTACTTATATCTTATTTTATATAAAATAAAAATACAATAATTCGTATTTTATTTGACGAAAAACTGAAACACTAATTTCACATCAACGGCCAATGCTAAATCAAACACGCAATATCAAAAACTAGTAAAACTGTTGACTAGTAAAACTGTTGACTCGCAACAGTTTTTCGGGACGTTGTCGGCTAGCTCCTGATATTTATCTAATACGAATTTTTGCAAAATAGTCGCTAAATTCACACCAGACGCCAATTTTTTTTTKATCGTTTACCAACTTACACGCCACATTTTTATATCCGGGAACCATATATACCTAAAATGCGTAGGTACATGTTTACTGTGTAAGAACTTGCATATTATGTGTGTACCTTTTTCTATCGTTTATGATTTAGGAACTGGCATGTGTAATTTTTTTACCGGATAGTAGGTCTCGTGTAGTATAACTTACATCCACCCTGAAATATTATATTGCCTTTTGATACGATATCTGTAGATGGGTAAACATAATGTGAATTGTGAATCGCAAAAGTTTGAATGCCTTACATACAGCAGGGTCGGCCTATGATGTGTGTTAAGGGCTTTATATAGGTGAGGTGTTACGTGTCCATATAAATATATAAGTCATCGTGGACTATATAGAAAAGGTTTGAGGGGGGTAAACTGGTGAATGTGAATAAGTATGTACATTTGATTTGAGGACGTTTAAAGGGGCCTAAATGTAAGTTCTCACTCGTTAGAAAAAGGTACGTATTACCTAGGAAAATGGAATTCAATATAATAAATTTAGTTTAGATTTTTTGTTCAGAATTTCATTAAGACCTAACCTAACCTATATAAAAATTGAATTTTTTCTACTTGTTTCCGTATTATTTTAAAACTAAATTTAGTTAGTGGTCCTATGTTGTCAATATTAACCAAGCAATAATTGATGCTCCATGTTTATTTCACACAAGGTTTTTTGTTTTCTTAACAAATTTATTATTGATAAAATATACATATATTAGATTAAAACCTATATAATTAATTTTAAAAAAGGGAAATAGTCTCTTTATCCTCCAAATTTATATAGTATATTATTACATTAATTCATTCATAAGTCTTGTCTATGGATAGTTTTTCCTCTATTTCTTACCATTTTTATAATTATATATAAAAATATATTATCACTCTAACTAGTTGTACCACAACCACATAATAATTTGTACGAATTATTGGATTTTCAAAATAGTCACAAAAATCATATAATATTAAACTAAAAATTCTATCAAAAATATGATGGTGTAAATAATTTTTTTGTATTAAATTTGTTCTTATTTGTTTTCAATCTACATTAAGTTTAAAAAAATAAATAAATATGCTATACAGCAGAAGTCTAGTATATCCGTCAATTGAGTAGGTACAGACATTTGTAATGGATGTGTTAAATTTCAATACAAAATACAAATCATTTCACATATAACGAAATTGGTTTTGAGTGAATACTCTAGCTTAAAAGTAACCAAGGATAGCAAAAAATTATTTTAATAATAATATTATTACAACAAATGTTTTTCTTAATTATTTTAAAAAGTACTAACCATTTTTAATTATGTCATCATAAAATTACCAACTAGATGCAATTTGACAACAGCAACCCCTATCAAAGCAGATGATCTGAGAATTTTTTCTACTAGAAAAAGTGTCTTCAGACATAATATTTAAAAAACACATATCATTGTAAAATTAATACATACATTTGGTACTACATTCTGAATCTAAAATTGGATATATGTTTCATTTGTAATGGTTTTTGTTTCTGGTATCCAATCTTATTAATAATCAAATTTTATCTAGTTAGTTATTACCATAATAGAGACATGAGTTAACTGTTAGATTTAAGATGTTTATAGAATAAATAACAAAAAAACTTAATAATAATTTAATATTAATATTAATTACATTTAAAATTACATCAGTAGCATATAAATAATATGAAAATTGACTATTGTGAAAAAACAACAATGTATAATTAAAAAAGAACATAAATTAATTGATAAGAATGAAAACATATTTGTGATAAGCCAATCTTCAAAACAAACAGCTGCATTTTATGAAATAAAAACTTTCATTAAAAAAAATGTGTACATGTTTATYAACTGTTGTATAAAATTTCAGACATAAATGTTTAAATTGTTTGTGATTAAATAAAATTGGATGTTATTTAATAACTATAAATTATCATTAATGAATAGCAGTATATTATTATTTAAAAATAAAACTGCGAAAACACCCAAATTGCTCACAGAGTTTATTAAATTACTATATCTAAATCCAAATTAAACTGTCATAAAACTGATAATACATTTTTAAAATATACAGTTATTCATTAAATATTTTACATAGTTAATATTTAAAAAATATTTAAATTGGTTTAAATTAAAATAATAATATATACATAACAAAATATATTACTAAAATTTGTATTTAATGTTTATTTCGAATAAATTTTAATAAATCAATTATTATAATGGTGGAAGTAATATTATATGATTGTAAATTTATTTTAACAATAAAAATTGTAAAATTTAAAAAAATTTAAATTTTATGTACATAAAATAATAGAGTTTTAAAGAAAAATTAACACACTATTGATGGATCACAAAAATAAAAAAATAATAAAAATMATTTGTAAGACTTAAATAATTATTAAGTTATTTAGCACGAAAATAAGCCCAATAATAACCTCATGATGTAAGAAACATTGTGCTAGGAGATTAACTTGCAAATGTCAAACATTTAAAATCATTCATGAGATACCTAAGATAAAATATAACAGAGTATTAATATTTAAMTTGCTAATGTCAAACATATAAATATATAATTAATTTCAAACACATACTTTTTGGTGCACTAAATGGCCCAACACGAGTGTATACATCAACAGCTCTAACTAAAAAATGATATTTTTCACCGTTTGTAAACTATAAAATAAATATAAATAAAAAATAAAAGATTTTACCCTCAAAAATACAAAAATTTATTTAAATATACTTACGTGAGTAAGTGAGCAAGCCATTGGTAGAGGAAGGGCATTTACATCACCAATTTTCCTCCATAGGTCAATGTTAGGTGGTTGATCAGGGGTCTCTTGATAAGCAAATACCTGATAACTTACTATGTCTGCAGTTGTCTTATTAATATTCATAGTCCATGAGAGCACTAATGCTATAAAATAAAAATATAAAATGTAAGAAATCTACGAGTTTGTTAATAAAATTATTTAATATTAACTTAATACCTTGGGGCATATTATTTACTGCTATTGTTTTACTAATGGTCAATTTAGGTGCAGGAGGTAATTTTTTCCATGAAGGAAGACTCTTTTGATTTGGAATTCCAGGCACAGGAGAAGGATGCTGCAATTTAAAAAAAAAAATATGTTATCATACTAATTTAATATATTTATAGATTATTTTTCTTTTTTTATAGAGTAAATAAAAATAACAACAGAATTTCCATACTAATAGTATCGCAGGAGGTGGTGGTCTGTTTAATTGAGATCCTGTTGAACTCCTTTCAATAGAAGTAGGATGAGATATTGTACGTATTGATATCGGTAACCGGCATGCAGTAATAGCTGTTCCAAGAGACGCCTGTGGCAAGGAAATGCCAGGCAATGATCCAGATACACGAGCTACTGGTAATTGGCAAGTTGAATAAACTGGAGTTAATGTTTTTAATGATGCAGAAAGTTGTGACACTGTTATTTGGCGAGGGGTCGTTGAGATTGGTTGTAATGTACCAGATATTCGAGATACTGGAACATGCTGTGCAGTATAAGCAACCGCACAAGGCTGAACTATTACAGGTTCCACACGTGACACTAAAAAAATATTATTGATTATTAAGTATTCTGATACAGCACACAATGTATTTAAATAGTAGTCTTGATAATCTAAAACATACAGTATCCAACCCTTTTTATTAAGAGTAATAACTATTACAATTGATAAATCCAACTAAAGAAAAATGTTGGAACTTGGAACCAAACCAGCACATAATGTAATAATGAAATCCTAATTAACCATGGCTACAATTGCGCGCGCAACATATGGGATATAAAATATATCTAGTGATACTGTGATAGATCATATCATTTTTAGTTTCTTATACTTGCAGTACTGAGAATGGTACTTTTCGGTTATCGTACCCCCAATGGTCGGCCGGCCGACTGCGGCGGCGGTCGGGATATACCGATTCCGCCATCGTACCCCATTATATTCATCTCAATGTTTCCATCATAAAAATATTAACGGTATTCGACTGTTAGGGTACGATAACCCGAAAAGTACCCTGAGAATTTGTATCTGGTTAATTATATAGTCTAAAATGAAATTCTGTGTACTGTTAACAAATTCAAGAAACATAGAGGATACTATGAGCAAGGGCGCCAGGCAAAGGAGCCATTGCTCCTACTGGGAATATTTTAAAACTATTGTTAATTTAATGTCACACATATTAAAGACATTATTAAAAAACAAAAACAAAAAATTATTAAAGACGTTATACAATCATTTTGTAAGTAACCAAGATGCATAAAACTTTTATTTGATAATTAATATAAATATAGTTAATTTGTAACATCTACATTAACATGTATTCAAAAAATATTAATTATGCATTGTAAACCTACACATATTATAAAGGACTTATGTGATGACATAATGTTATTTTATTTTCTATTTATGTTATGCTAATTTTAGAATGAAAACACTATAAATATATTAAAATTTAAAATAATCTTTTTGATTTGGTTTTAGAATTTTGATCTTGCACCGGGTGGGATTTTATCCTGCAAGTGTGGTTGCTAAGGAGAAGTACTTTTACTTATATCCATAATAGTATTAGAACTCCACAGGAGACTTCAAATAAGTAAGCACATAACATCACTATCTGGAGTCTCAAACTTATGAATTAGTAAAATCATTTCATACAGAAAATTTGTAACAATCTAAGATATGATATGATCACAAGCAATCATACTTCAAAGAATAACTGAGCAATAAAGGAGGTAACTGACACAAACTCAAAAATTAATTCCTTTAAAATCAATCCTAGCCCAAACCTAATTTAACTTACATATACACCATTTTCAGGAACTAAAGGATTTCAACTTCAATTTATTGCAATTCAAAACCAGAGCAGAGATCTACTAAATGGTGCTAACAGATGACTTAAAGACAATAAATTAATGGAATACCAGACAAGAAACAATCAGAAAATTAGAGACAGATTTAAAAGAGGGGGCTCGCCCCTCCCTCTATTAGCATAAGCTTAAACGCAACAACTTACTGTACATTTAAAAATGTAAAAAGGGAATTATAAAATTAATGTAGTTGTTATAAGTATTTTTTATTCAATAAAAATGTAAATTAATATTATGAGCAAAAATAAAAATGTCCTTATAATTAGTACTTTTTTTTAACATTAAAATATAACAAAACAAAATATACAAGTACAAATTAAGTTGAATGATTCAGTAATGTATCTACTATTACTGACTAAGATAATATTTATATTAAATGATTTTAAAAAAATCAAAGTTAACAAAAATACAAATTTTATTTAATATTTCTTATAATTTAATTAAAACAATATTATGATTAACTTTATTGCAGCTAAATTATCATTGTCAACAACTGATTTTTAAAAAATAAATATAATAAAAATATTCAAAAAGGAGTTATTTTTAACACTCAGTTTAACTGATTATTGTAACTGTATTATCGCTAACCGTTATAATCTCAAACTAGAGATGGTATAACTATAACTATATGATATGAGCATAATATATAGTAAATATTTAACTAAGTTAAGTACTTTAAAAACTTACCATCGATTAAAAATGGTTTGATATTTTTGGATTTTGGACTTGTATTCATGGTACCTTTATTTGAAATACTTGTCTGATGAGGAGTGCTCTACAATGAATAATGATTATATTTATCAAAGAAAAAAAATTATACATTTTGTATGAGCATACTGAAGCAATTCTAGTCATAGAACTTGAAGAGGATGATGGATTGTTAGGTAGCTCTACTTGAGTCAAAGTTTTTGATGAACTGGCATTCTGAAACATTAACCAATTAAATACTTAAACCTAGGAATTAAAAATTACAAAACATCATAATATATTACATATACTCGATAAAAAAGCGGGTAAGTAGATATCGCTATGTTGTACAGTAATTTACAAGTGGATTACTGTAATGGACAGTATTAAATTTGAATTCAACGATATGATATCATTGTATACGAAAAACAATTCTGAGCGTAGATGATTTGTCAGTCTAGGATTTTTAGGGTTTTATATTATATTAATTATATTACTTTAATTTAAAAAAAAAAAAAAAAAAATGTAGGTACTTAAAAATAAATTTCAAATCAGATTCATTATGCACTCGACTCACTCAGTCATAGTAAGTATAAACAATTTATTATAAAGTATTAATATCGGTCATTAACGACATTAACTATTAGCATTAGAATATAAAGTATACTCAAAAAATTTTAAGTGCCCACCAATAATATTTATAAATTACAATAATATAACTAAAATTGTTATTCTTGGTTGTAATTTGCACATGTAATTTCATCCAAATTTGAACTAAAAAAAACTATGTTTGTATAGTTTTCAAATTTTTTTTCATAGAATTAACTATTTATGTGGAATCTTACTTTAGATTTTCAATTCATAGCTATAAAATTTAAACGTTTTCTAATAAATTTTTAACAATCAAAGAATTTGTAAATTTTTAATTAAACACTTTTGTCAACATTTTAACTTTAAATGGTTATAAAAAAAAAAGTGCCCAAGTATTTTTAATATTTTTCAACTGCTATTGTATCAACTTATGGGGAACCTTGTATTAAATTTTCAAATTTTTTGACTAAACAGATGAAATTTTATTGACATTTATAGAATAAAAAACAAAAAATTTCAAATGTTTATAAATAACTTAAAAATTGTTGAAAATTGTATCAAGTAGGAATTGATAAAATAAAATAATGTAAATTTAAAGTTTTTAGTTATTCATTTTTGAATAACAACAAAATAATAATCTCGGTACAAGAGAACCCAAGTGAATATGTAATGCTATAATGAAATAATGCTCATAAAAATTAAATTTGACCTTCCAGTAGACATTTTTTATTTGATAAAAGAAAACTAACTCATGAATCTTGTATTGAATTTTCAAACCTTAGATTTAAAAAGAAACATTTTTATGAATTTCTAACTCAAAATAAATTGCAAATTTTCGTGTTTTTTATGTATTTTGTCAAATTCAAACTTTCAATGTATATTAAAAAACATTTTGACTGTATTTTTTATATTTTTTAACTGTCATTGTAACAATATATTAGGAGCCTGTTATTAAATGTTGAAGCTTTTATACTCAACGGATAAAATTTTACTGTCATTCATAAAAAAAAACTAAAAAGATTGAAAATTTCAAATGTCTATAAATAATTTAAAAATATTTGAAATATTTTGAAAATTTTATCAAGTATAGAAAATACAAGTATAAACATTTAATGAAAATTGCATGTGAAACAAATATCAAAATTCGATTTTCACAACAATTAATTTTGCGTAAAAATTCCCGATTTTCCTTATTTTTTTTTTGTTGGTTTTTCCTAGTGTTTATGAAAACTACTAGGAATTGAAAATTTGGCTTTCTCAAGCACCAACTAGATTCACTTTCCAATTAGAAAAGCTTACTAAGTTTAAAATAAAAGCATTACTTTGACAGCTTATTGTGTACACAGATACAAAAAAAACACACACAACATAGTAAAATCAATACATTCATTATCCGCTCAGAATCTAAAATATGCCTAACAGAAATTTAATAGGTAATTTAAAATTTATATGACGATGTAAATCATTTGAGCAAGAAAATGAAACAACATTTTTAATTTTGAAGTAACTAGGGATAAGAAGTTTGGTCTTGATTCTAAACATGCTTTGGATAAACAAATAAGACTACATCTAACTCACATTTGTGATATTTTTTTAAATTCAATATTAAAGGACTATACAACTAAAAAATCCTAATTTTTTTTATTGTGTGAAAATGTAGTGCTTAAAAAAAGAAAAATTTTGGTGGTATAAAAATTTTTGTCGGACAATAATTGCTCCGGTGATTATTTATAAGTCGCGTAAAACGCGTGACGTCATAAAATCACACCGTCCGCCGGGCCGTATCTAAAATACACGCGTTGTAGTTATTTCACTCGATTAAAATAACTATAGAGAAAAATTGATTTAAGGTATAACGGTAAAAGTTAATAAAGTA